CCATACTCGTGAAGGTTTTAAAAGAAGAGGGTCCCCTACATAATTAATGTCTCCTGACTTTTACTCCCTTGCCTTCCTTTCTTCCTTCCCTTCCCTTCCCTTCCCTTCCCCTCCCTCCCTCCCTCCCTCCTTCTCTCTTTCTCTGCCTCTGTTTCTTTCCTTACTGAGGTTTGAACTCAGGGCCCTGCAGAAGCATCAGCTGTCCTCCTGGAGGAAAGATTGTGGCCCCCAAACAGCGTTTTCTGGTTTGTATTTGGTGCATGGATGAAGTTTAGAATGGAAGCTATGAAGTCTGCCCTGTGTGTTCGTGGGTATCTGTGTTTTCATCTATGTGTGATTTTTTTCTTCTGGGTATTACAAACGACCTACTTATAAAAGAGGTCTTGCTCATTTTCTTAATTTCCTAATTTGTACAACAAATAGTTACATAAATCAAATATCCCTAAAACTCTTAGGAAGATAGAAATTCACTCAAATGCTTTTGAGCACACACGATCTAGGATAATCTTTGGCAAGTAAAAGATTAAAAGCAAAGTTTGTTGGTTTAATTAAAACAAGCATGGCTTTAGGGAATCAGCATTAACTCTGATGCAGACGCACAACTGTTGTGTGTCTGTCTGCCTTGTCCTCACAGCCGCTGCCGCTTTACAGGGTCTGCTAACTTGCCTTCCAGGCCGTCTGTTGTTTTTATTTTAGGTTAAGGCCTTTGAGGAAAACTTCCCGGAAACCAGCCAAAATTGCTGAGTTGCTCTGACTCATTTTTTTTAGGTCACCTGGAGTAAAGTTTGCTCAGTGTAATTCTAAATTCTCCACCAGAAGTGTAGTGTCTTCCTTTTTTCTCTTTTCTTTTTGTGCTTTCTCAAATCCCAACTCAATTTTGCTCCTTACCTCTTTCTCTTAGGATTCATTTTCTCTCTTTTTTCTTTCTTTTTTTTTTTTTGTCATTTTGTGGTGGTGGGGATAGAACCCAGTGTCCACTGATCTACATCCTCAGCCCAGGTAACTTTTTTGCTGTTGTTGGTTTTTTTTTTTTTTTTTTTTCAGACAGGGTTTCATTATGTCACCGAGGCTGGCCTCAAACTCGTGATCTTCCCATATCCTTGGAAGGAACTAGCCCTTGGTCTTGGACTTCTGGTCCCCTGGCTGTGAGACACTAAGTCCATATTGGTTAAGCTTGCAGCTCTCAAAACGCAACAGAAGCCCTCGCCAACTCACTGCGGCCAACCATGCATGCTGCAGGTGCAGGGCCACTCAGGAAGCCACACCTGCAGGTTTTTGGGGAGCCCCACACTCAAATTGTCAAAGGAGATGAACCCCAGGAAGTCAGTTCTTGACTTTGTGCCAGTAGACCCATGCTTGGGGTGGGGACTGGCTTTTCACAAGACCCCAGGCACCTCTCTCAGGGGCCATGGATGGTCAGTGCATGGGACATTTCCCCAAAATGACAGCAGGGGGCCATTGTGCTCAGATGCTGGCATAAGTCAGCAGGGGCAGAGCCCTCCCTGGACATGACCTTTGGTGAAGCAGAGATGAGGTGGGGACACAGCAAAGACTGTTGGTGACCCCCAAGGCAGGCAGCTCACAGGGAGAGAAGTAATGTGCTACAAAGATCTGCAGCCTCTGAGGGGTGCCATCTTCAGCGCGGCCTGTGGTGGGATGACCTGAGATGGTGGAAGCCCTGAGGCTTGTCCCCCAGCCTCCCTGTGCAGACCCCGAGGGGGCCAGGCAGGAAGGACATGGTCGAGTACCTCTAGCCTCAAGCTGACAGCAGCGTGGCAGTCATCAGCTTCCTCATGGCATCCTGGTCCAGACCACATAACTGTCCTGCTGCAAATGTTAAATGTCAGCTCCAGCTGAAAAGGAGGCCATTGGCCTGGAACACAGGTCACCAGACAGCACCGTGTCCAGCCACCGTCACCCCCATCCGTCTGGCCACAGGTCATAGCAGCCTAGCAGTGAGACCTGGGCCTTGCATATTCCCACCCCCTGCTCGTGTACTGTGTTTCACCAGCTTTGTGTAAAAAGATTGTTTTCTATCAGTGTACACAAGAGGTCAGAGTTCTGACCTCCCCCACCCATTCTCACTCGAGGCAGCCGCCCTCCGCTCTTCCCACTGGCTTTCGGGTGCTGCGTCCCTATTTCCGCACTTGTCGGGTCTTGAGCAGGTGTAATGCTGAGCATCTGTCTGTGAAGGTGAAGTCCATGTCCCCCGGTGCCCCTGGACCCACCTGTGTGCAACCTGACCCTGCAGTGTGGCTTAATGAGGATGTGCAGTGCCAGTGTTTGCAGGACTGCAATGATGCCCTGCCAAGCTCAGCTGCAGTCTCTGCTGTGATTCTGGTCTCCACATCAGTGACACCTAACCTGGTTTCTAAGTTCTGTGACATATCACAGACCCCCACCTCACGTGATTCCTTCCCTTCCTTGTGCCCTTACTCTTGGGGCTCCCATCCTGTGACCATCTTTGGCCGCTGGACCTGTGGTGTCCTGGGATGCCCTCTCCACCATCCTGGACCTTGCAGCTCGCTCACTGTGAGGAAGCAATTGCCCTCCTGGCTCTCGCTCCTCGTGCGCTGCCGCTCATTTCTGGGCAAGGTGACACAGGCACAGCCGGAAACTCCCCTGCTGAGTGTGTGCACCCAGCCTGTGGCCCTCTTCCTTCAGATGTCAGCCTTCGCCCCACGTCCCCAGCCTCCTTCCAGGCGTGCTGGACACCAAACTAGGATGTGCCCCTCCAGCTAAGCTGGCCACGTGGGCCAGGTCTCCCCACCTCCTTCCGAAGTGTCCAGGGCCTTTGTACCGAATGACCTAACTTTTCCCAAGGACGATGGCTGCGGGGTAATTCCTGTCCACTGTGCAGGGTGTAGCACGGGCCTCAGCCTGAGGTCGCCTGTCGTCCTGGGCAGCAGCTCAGAGGTGTTTCCCAGTGTTCACCTCCCTGCCTCTCCTGTCTTCCAGGACTCTCACTGGTCGTGTTGGAATCCAGAGACTTCCAAGAACAAGAAACATGGAGACAACACACGAGGACCCATCCTATTTCCAAAACAGGCCTGCAAAGAGCAAAGCCCAGGACTCACATTGGCCCATTTCAAAACCAACCACTCACCACAGCTGCAGTGCTCAAAACAGTGCTGCCCTTAGAAATTGCTTAAAACGTGTGTGGGGTGGGGGGTAAGAAAGAGCAACAGAGGGGGAGCTTGACCAAAGTGCATCGTATGCATGCCCGGGAATGACATCGAAGCCCTTTACACAACTAACACGCACTGATAAAACTCTGCTGCTGGCGTAAGGCTAGGCCTACAGGGCAAAGGGACAGGGCTCAGAGTTCAGAAATGAGTCCGTACACCCAGGGCCTGATTTTAGTTGTTTTGTTCAGTGCTGAGGCCAGAACCCAGGGCCTCACACGTGCTAGGCCTCTTCCACTGAGCTGCATTCCCGGTCCCCACACCCTAGGGTGAGGCCATTTGCTGGGGAGAGAATGCCTCTTCGGTGGGACTGAGACCATCGGAGCTCAAGATGGTGACTCACTCGGAATGGATCATGACCTAAATACACACAGCTCTTGGAGGAACACACGGGGCGAGTTTTTATGACCTCAGTTCTACTGACAGACACGACACGGAAAGTGAGAGCAGGGAAAGGAAGAACAGGCAAGCCTTAACTTCACCAAAACTACAAGTTGTGCGTCCAATAACATCACCAAAATGGTAGATACTCTGGGTGGTGCACACCACCTATAATCTTGGCACCTGGGAATTTAAAAAAAAAAAGGGTGGGGGGCTGGGGGGGCTGGAAGTGTGGCTCAAGCAGTAGAGCACCTGCCTTGCAAGCACAAAGCCCCGAATTCAAACCCCAGTGCCAACAAAAAAAAAAAAATCACTATAATTAACCAAAAAAAAGACAACCTAATTTAAAAGGACTTTTCCCCAAAAACATACAGAAGACCAGCAAGCACCTGAACAAAGATGCCGCCCTCATTAGTGAGGAGAGAGACACGACGCCAGGAAGGCCGCTTCACGTGCACTGGTGGCTGTGGGAAAAAGTACTCTGGTAAGGACGGGAGAAACTCGAACCAGGCACCACTGGTGAGATCGTGAAACCACAGCTGCTGGGGGCAGTTAGCTGCTTCTTCAAAAAACCAACCCCAGCAATCCCAGCCCTGGGCACACACCCCAGGAAAGTGGGAAAGGGTTCAAACAGACACGTGCATGAATGTCCACCGTGCTCTGTTCACGACCACCAAAAGGTGGTAACGCCCCTAACGCCCACAGCGGACTGGTACCACGTAAAGGAAGACGCTCAGTCACGTGCGCAGTGTGGATGAACCTGGCTAAGGGACAGACGAGACACACAGGCCACGGGTTGTACGATCCATTTATGTGAACAAGGCAATCCAGAGTGCAGGTAAATGGCTCCCAGGGCTGGAGGAGAGCGGGGGACTGCTTTGGGGGGAGGGTGAGACCTTGTCTTGCAAGTTGACATTCTGAACCTACCCAGTGCCACTGAGCCCTTTGCTTTAGGCTTGTGGGTTAGTTATGGGAGCTGCACCTCAGTTAAACCCCACACCCACAGCTGTTCCAGCCCACTGGACAGCACGACCCACGAAAACTGGCACGGAACCGGCCCCAGCCTCTCCCACCCTGGAGCCTTCTCTGGTAAAGGTATCTCCAGTCCCCTCTGCCCCATCTCCATCTGTGTCAATCCTCCCTCGGTAAAGTGCGTTAAGACAAAGTGACATTATAGAAAAGCCCGTTTAATCCAGTAAACCACAAGAGACGCACCTAGGAAGCCGAGGGTCATGGGGTGGGGACAGGGAGGCCGTGTCCACTAGCCTGGTCACCTGGTCCCTGGCTGTCCACTAGCCAGCCTGCTGCTGGCTCCCTGCCAGCGAGAAGGTGACACTCAGGCCCAGGAGAGTAAAAATCACAGTCCACTTAGTGTCCACAAAGGCAGAGGATGGACCCTAAGCAGCGAGGGAGGCAGATCCCAAACTTCCAGCTTTACTTCTGGTCCTGCTCGCGGGCTGCCACAAAGTTCAGCAGGTCAATGGCAGTGACAACCCCAAACACCATCTGCCGCTCGCTGGCCTGGCCATTGCTGTGGTCTGAGAGAGGAAAACAGGGCCGCAGGATTAAAGGCGCTTGGGCATGGAGCTGGTCTGAAGCAGATGCCCACCGCCCCAGGCCTGTGGGAGGCCAGCCGGGGCAGGGAGGGTCCCAAGCCCCTTCCATGGCCTCTGGTGCACCTGTGCATGGTCTTACTCCGTCCTGAGCCTGTGGGCAGAGTCAGAGCAGCTCCACCCACCAGCCCAGTGTACACTGCTGCCCAGGATGGACAGAGCCAACCCTGCTCCCCAGAACAGACGGCCCAGGAAGGCGTCACCTCTCAGCCAGTGCCCACAGGCCATGCCTGGCCTCACTGCGTCAGGACACGCTTTGGGTGTACCTCCACAGCCAGAGTCCTAGCATGGAACCCAGGGCCCGTCAACTGTGAGCAGCTCACAGCCCACCCTGCCTGAGTCTGTCTGCAGACCCAACCTTTCTCTTGGTGGGCTCAGGCTTCCAAGCAGTGCTGGCCTAGCCCCACCCACACCATGTGGCCAGCAGGCAAAGGGCTGCGGTGGTGGTGAATTTTGATATGTCAACTTGACTGCGTGGCCCTGACATCTGCCCACACAGAATTCAGAGTGTGTCTGAGATTACCATTTGAATCAGGAGAATAAAGGACAGCACCCCACCCCCCACTGTGGTGGGCCTCACTCAATCAGTGGAGGGCCCAAGTAAGGAGATTTTCTGTTTTTGGACTTGATCTGGCTCATGGGTTCTCCAAGTTGCTGACTCAGTCTGCAGACCTTGGGACCTGTCAGCCTCTGTCATCGTGCTCCAGTTCTGCAGAACAGATCTCTAAATCGACACATAACCTATAGGTCCTGTTCTCTGCAGAGCCCTGACTGGCAGTCCCTACAAGGCTCAGAGAAGGCAGGGCAGGGGCAACAGTGACAAACACCCAGGCTGTCTCCCACATTGCCACTGGCTCTGCCTCTCCTGGCTTTGCGGATAGACCACTCAGGGTCCAGGGAGAGGCACTGTGTTGGCCTACCTGGAGCTTCAGGAAAAGAGGGGGGGCCTGAGGGACCCAGAAGAGATCAGCTACCTGTGTTTTGGGGACACTGAGCCAAAGGGGCTGCTTGTTTGGCTCTGGGACCTCCACAGAGAAAGTGAGGCAGGATGCAGGGGTCTCCAAGTCCAATTCCAGGATCCAGTCCATCTAGGGGACAGCTCTCAGTGTAAGCCCAGGTAGCAAATGTGTTAAGTTTATGAGTGTGCAGATGACACTCAGCTCTGCCCCAGAGCACCCAGACCCAGGGACAAGCAGGCCGAGTCCTAGAAGACCCTTATGAGTCCTGAAGCTGGAATTCGGATTTTTTTTTTTGTGATGTTTAAATATAGATAAATTTGTAGTAAGTGGAGGAGCCCCCCCCAACCCAAGCTGCGGGTCCAGGACCCTAGGTGTCCTTCCTTTGCCCTCAAGTGGCTGTGACTCCGATCCTAGGACCCTTTCCCAGGGGCTGGGATGAGCGGGTCGTACATACCTGCAGGCCCCCCCACCACTCCTGACCAGGCCTGGTCCCGTGCTGTAGAGCCAAGGACGGGAGAGGGGTTAGACACAGGGCACCCCAAGCACATGCATGCACAGAGCAGTGGGCAGATCTGGGGATCGGGCTTCAGGGCCCTTCCAACTCCTCTTGTGGGCCCTGGGCCAGGACCGAAATCCGCAGCCCTCATCACGGGGGCCCAGAGAAAGCCTCTCCCTTCCTACGGAGGTCCAGAAGTAGCTCCGTGAGCCGAATCACAAAGCGGGAGCTGGCACAGAGCGTGACCCAGCCGTGCCTGGGCTCAGTGACCTTGTCCCCAATAAGAAGCCAGTGTGCCCCACAGGCCCCACTCACACTGGATCTGCTCGTGGACCACCAGAGCAAAGTGGTCTATCTCCAGGATGTGCGAGAGTGTGCCCAGCGTGTCCGTCAGGCGGATCTGGAAGAGAAGCCGTGTCAGTGCTCACTGCCCTGGCACTGTCACCAGCCACCAGCTCCCCACACAGAGGAACATGGCGAGGTGGACAGTCAGGACAAGCGCAAGCAGGAGAAGCCCCCAGGGGGCCTTGAACATGCAGTGCACTTGGAAAAAGCCCAAAGTCATGCATGCTGCCTGACTCCAACCTCGTGACCGGTCACAGGCAAAACCAGGAGACAACCAGGGATTGTGGAGGTTGGGGAGAGAGGGATAAATTTAGGGAGCTTGGGACTCCTAGGGCCGTGCACACAGGGTCTGTGTGACTCCAGCGGAGGTGAGTTGTCCCTTCAAGCCATGCAGGTCCTATAGTTCTGTCCCACCATCTGAAGGGGCCTTTGCCTCCAGTACCCATCATAGCCACCAGTTCCCTGGGTCTGAACACATCCCACCAGGACACAGGACAGTGACCTCAGTCACAGGCTTGACAAGCCCAAAGGCCATTTCCAGTCCCCGGGACACACTGGAACCCTACTAAGCATAGCCACCTCAGAGCCAGTTCAAAAATTAGAAACAGAAAACTAAAGCTCCATCCCCAGCAGACAGCCCAGTCCTGAGGAGCAGAGCTGGCAGGAGGGGCAGCCCCACAGGAGGCCAAAGAGTGAGCAAAGCACCTGACTGAGGGACACCCAGGCCAGCGAGCTACGTCTGTCCCACCTGCTGGGGCACAGATGGAGTGACTCTACACCAGAAAGCCAAAGGACAGACAGGACTCAGCCAGGGGCAGACAGGCATATACAAGGCATTGTGGGTGGCCCTCAAAATAGGGGTGCTGTGTGCAGAGGCAGAGAGTAAACGTGTGATGTGCACATGACTGTAGAGTGGAAATGACCCTGGGCGACAGCAAGCAGAGCACCCATTACCTGGGGACAGGCTCACAAAGGGACACAGGGTGTCTTTGGGGCTGACAGACATATCATGGCTGATGGCTTCATGGGTGAATATTCACATTAAAACCATCAAACTAGCCAGGTGCCAGTGGCTCACTCCTGTAATCCTAGCTACTCAGGAGATCAGAGGATCGTTGTTCGAAGCCAACAGGGGCAAATAGTTCACAAGACCCTAAAAAACCCATCACAAAAAAGGGCTGGTGGAGTGGTTCAAGGTATAGGCCAGTACTGAAAAAAACAAACAAAAATGTGTACATTCAGTAGAACTGATGGACAATGGGGTGAGCTGAAAGGTCACCCCAGCTGCAGACTGGCTGACACCATGCCCCCTTCAATAGCCGCCAGGGTCCAGCCTCTCCCAGCTGGCACTCAGGCTGTAGTCACCAAAGAACATGTGTGGCTGTGGCAGTGCTCAGGTGGGACAGGGGAGCCGAGACCCACAGCAAGGTGAGCTGGGCAGGGCTCACCACACCAGCCACAGGTGACAAAGGAGGAGCAGAAGGCCAGGGCTCAGCAGGGCCCAGGCCAGGACTGGACAGGACTCTACCTGGGTTCTCCTGGCACCTCCAGAGTTAAGAGGCACCGGGGCCCTGCAGAGGGGCTGTGAGAGCCATGGGTGGCAGACATGGGAGATGTGTGAAGTAACCATGATGGCTCAGAGTACATGAGAGGGAAAAGTCAAATCCATTGCTGGATTTGAGTAGAATGCCTGCCTTTCCCTCTCATGGGGTCTGTGTGGAAATGTCAGGTGCCAGACCCGGCAGAAAGGGTGCTCACCACTCACCCCTTGGGACAACGGAGGGGACGCCCAGGACAAGCAGGTGTCTGGCTAACCTAGCTGCATTTCTCCAAATATCCTACCTCTTGTTAGACAATTCAGCAGATCAGGTACTCTTAAGTGGGAGCACAGGAAAGAGCAAGTTGACTATTGCAGAAAGGCTACCAGGCAAGATGCCTGGTAGCTGAGGTGACCCCAGGTGTCCCCACAAAGTAGCTGAGAGGATGACCAGGGCCCCTCCACTTGCAGAAGGGCATCTTGGCTTTCTAAGTTCAGTAGAGCGTAGGTGTGGCAGGCCAGGGGTCCAGCCCCTGGCCCAGGAAGCTCTGTGACCTGCCTTTAGGCCGCCAAGCACCCACTGCCATTGGGGATCAGTTCCTACCGGTTTGAACTGCTTGTAGAGGACTTTGTGGACTTGGTCGGATGGCTGCACCTTCCCAGCCAGCAGGGACGACAGCATGTTTCCAAGAGTCACCATCCCTAGGATGGCCCTGGGGGAGCAGAGGATGGGCAAAGGGAAGGCAGGGGTCAGACAGGCCCGTGGCCTCTGGCAAAGTGGAGGAGGTCCTCTGAAGAACTCAACTGCTTGCTGAGCGCCTCCTTGTGGCAGCAGCACAGAAGGGCCCTCAGGGGATAATAAACCCACCAGTCCTGGATGTGGCACAGCCAATCACCTGGGCCTATGGACGTCCCCTAGGAGACATTCCCAGGGTGCCTCATGGGGCCAAGGCCAAGGAAAGGGTCAGGACAGGCCTGCACACTGAGAGTGAAGTGGGGGGTGGGACAGAGACAGTGGGGCCCAAAGAGTTAATGCAGCCCTCTGTCCCAGCTGCTGCTCAGGGACAAGGTGTCCACTGGGCAGTGCCAAGCGCTGGACATTGTGTATAAAGTGACCACACTGAACCTGTCAGCTGGAGGGTTTGGTCACCCATGCCACCCAGTGATCACAACACAGAGGGACCTGGAGCCCAGGCATCTGGTAGAGCCCAAGGAAAGCACCCTGGACTGGGGAATGGAGGTGGTTGAGACTGACCCTGACTCGTTGACCACGGGTGCCTGGTCAAATCCCTTCTCGCGGAGGATGGCGATGGTGTGTTCACAGGTGACCGTGGGCAGCACAGTCAGCGGGGCTGACAAGCTCAGCTCCTGAACACGCAGGTGCCACCACCTGAGGGAGGGGGCAGGGCTGGCATGAACCGGGAGGCAGGGCCAGGAGTGAGGCTATCATGGCAGGACCCCGCAGGGACTTCCTCACCCTGCCTGTCCCCACCAGGGCTGGGACAGCACAGGAAGCCAGGCCTCTGCTCGGCACACCCTTACCAGGGTCTGTTCACAGAGAGGTCCTCCTCTTTCATGAAGCCCTTCTGCAACATCCACTTGTCACTCAGAAACTTAGACCTGTAGGGACAGGGGCGTCACTGAGGCCTATGCAGGGACCCACACCATGTGCTCAGGGACATGGTCTGAGATGCCCTGCACCCTTTTGGGACTTCACTGCTCCAGCAGACACTGAATGTCTAACAGAGGCTCCAGGGTGGCTGACGGTGACTTGACAAGGACCTGGCCTGGGAACTGAGGGTCAGCGGGCACCAAGTCCTTCAGGACACCCTAGGTAAAGGAAGCCAGAGTCCAGAAATTGTTCCCAGAAGCCTCTGTGATCAAGTGTCCCCTGCAGGCCCTGGGTGACGCCCTCCCTGGCCCCTAGGCCTGCCCTGACAGAGGGAGCCCTTCACCCCGAAATCGAAGGCTGCCTGACTCAGCAGGCCAGGGCCGCCCAGATCTGCCCTGAGGGGGCCAAGGACCAGCGAAGTATGGGCAGGTGAGCCCTGCACCAACACGTGTGCGTACAGCACCGCCCGCTCACTCACCCACACTCACACACCAGACTCATGCACACGCAGCCAGGCTTGCACTCAGGGTGAGGGCGTTCTTAAGTGCAGCTGGGAGTGGGTGGGACCTGACAATGGGCACCTGGGAACCCAGTGCCATGCCTGGCGCAGAAGGCATGAGCTGAGCTCAGTGCAGATGTGTGCTTCCCCACACTTCAGCCGGGGAGCCTAGGTGGGCGTCAGCGCCATGGGGAGGCTCATGAGGCCCTGCTGGCCCCAGTCCTCCCCAGCCTCCTGTGTGGGCAACTAAATGAGGCAGTGTCAGCAGTCAGGAGGGTGACAGACAGGAGAGGTGCAGAGCCCAGAGGACAAAGGGTGTGCCTTACATGTAATTCCTCACGGAGTCAGGCAGGATGACCACACAGCGCTGACCCTCCTGCAGCTCCTGAGCGGCCTTCACAGCCACGGCCATGGCGCTGCCGGAGCTGCCACCTGCAGAGAGAACCCGAGACTAGCCTGTGTATGTGCATGTGTATCTATGGGTGCACACATATGTAAACGTGTGCCTTGTGCACACCTGGACATACTCAACGTACATGGGAACAGGGCTTCCTCAGAGCAGGGAGCTGGCTCTGGAAGGACACACCGTTCCCGGGCAGGGCCTTACCCTCCACCCCCACTTATGGTGGACGTTTTCACATCTGCTCAGGGTTCACAACTAAACTATCACCAAGGGAACATGGAGACCCTAGAGCTAATGGCCTTCTTGCTTAGTCAGGTTGGGGACTAGTGCCAGGGAAACACCTGAGGGGGCTCTGAGTCCCCAAGCAAATACCACAACCTTGAGCTGGGTGCTGGGGATGGCCTGTGGTCTCAGTGAGCACCCATAGCTTCCCTGCAAGGCAGGCAGGTGACATCATGTCCCACTTTATAAATGAGAGCCCTAGGCTCACAGTGACACCAACAGAGCTGGTGAGCCCAAGGCCCCTACAGCTGCCTCTCCAGTTGGAGCCGATTCGGGCCTGGACCTAAAGTGGCTCAAGGCAGTCAGAACGCTCTTCCTGGCCACCAAGAGCAGCCACAGCACAGTCTCCTCTCTGAATGGCCTGTGGTCCTGTCACTAGTTTCACAAAGCCCAGGCTTGTCCCTCTGAGAGTGGGGATAGAGAGACTCTGAGGGCCCAGACCCCAGGGAGACCCTTTTCACAACAGCATAGTTTGGAAGGCCTTTTCGATCACCAGGGGCTGGCTCCCAGTCTCCAGGATGGGTCTCAGCTGTTGGGGACCTGGTTGATTTCCTTCCCCCATGCCCCACTCTCCAAGGTGATCTGACACAGAGGGAGCACATTCCCATGACCGATTCAGGGTGCATGCTTAGTGTGCTCCCCAAGTCTCCTGAGACCTAAACCAAGCTGCTGGGCTTCTGCTGGCCTGAGTGACCAAACAGTGCTGCTCTGTCCACCTTGAACAGGGCAGGCTGAGGAGTCCCAGATAAGTCTCAGGCTCTACACAAAGGCAGGGCAGCTCAAAGCCTTTGCACCTTGGCTTCCTACTGGTGTCTGCACAAGTGGTGCCACAGGCTGCAAAAGGACAAGCAGACTGACCTAAGGAAGGAACAGACAGACAGACAGCTCCAACCAAGAAGCAGGGCTGCTGTAGTCCTGCAGCCTTGCAACAACTAGTCCTTTATGCATTTGGACTGGAAGCTGGCAGAGGGCACAGGCCCTGGGGTCTCCTACCCCGCCACCCACAGGTCCATGTGGCCACTCACCGCACAGCAGTCCTTCCTGTGAGATCAACAATCGGGCAAAGGCGAAGGATTCCTCATCGTTGCTCTTGAACCACTTGTCCACTACCTGTGGCAGGACCAGGCCATCAGCTTGGGCGGGGGTATACTGAGGACCTCTGTCCAGTAGCCCATGGCCCCCAAAAGGGCCTACCACACCCCTCCCCCAGGATCTGGAACTCACACCTGAAAACCTAGACCTCTCTGCCCTTCCTTGTTCCAAACATGTTTTGTACATAGCAACTAAAATTGTCTGCCAGCCCCTGCTGGGCAGCTGGCCGCACTCCCCACAGCACCCTGTAGACTCTGCTCTCACTCTGGGGCCACCCTTTGCCCATTCACCCACTCAGACCACCCACCCTCAGTTGCCTCCCCTCTGGGTGTCTTGGCCTGTGCATGGAGGGGGCAGGCGTGGACTTGAACGTGGGCTGCCTGTTGCCCTTGAGACCGTCTAACTGCTGGTGCCACTGCTCATTCTTCTGTCCCCTTAGTGGGAAGCTAGTGGCTGGGACACCTGGGATCAGCTGGGCGGCTCGATGTAAAAGTGAGTTAGGGGACAGACAGCAGCCTGTGGGGACGGTGCTCTGGCTGACCTACCTTCCTGTCCAGCACCGTGGGAATGAAGTCATAGCCAATTCCCTCCACCTCGTAGGCCGTCTGCTCTGTCTGGTTCAGCTCCTCCGGCTCTGCGAGGATGGACCCTTCAGGATCCACCCCAATGATCTGCAGAGCAGGTGGCGTTAGGACTGGGGGAGGCCTAATCTGGACAGATGCGGCTATTACCACTTCCTGGTCCCTGTCAATGTCCTACCACAGGTGCTGTGCCCAGGGTCAGTCAGCGGTGGAAGAAACCCCCACCCTAGGATCCCAGGCTGGAGAATTAGGGCCATAGCAACCTATCCAGACCAGTGATCAGCACAGAATCCTCAGAAGTGACCTCCTAGGGCTGCTCTAGGAAGTGCCCCCAGGAGTGGGACAGCTGGAGTTTTGGGGACAAAGGTTGCCTTTGGGCATGGATCTCTTCTGGAGGGCAAGCACACCATCCAGGAAGAAAGTACACCAGCCACTTCTCCAAGATGCTCCTCAGATCTGCCCTGAACCCAAATCCAAGACCCCTCCATGACTCCAAACCCCAGGCGAGCACCTATCCCAGGTGTGATAGACTCAGGACAAGTCAGCTTCTGGGATGATCCATGGGGCCACCCAAAAGGAGCCCTCACCCTACTCAGGACAGGAAGCCCCTGGGATATTGAGCAGCAGGCCCAGCTCATGTGGGTCACAGAGCTGTGAGTTGCTGGCTTCCTGCCAGCCGGCACTGCTTCCCAGCTCCTCCCGGGCAGGACACACACCACACAGGACAGCCATGCTACCAAGGTAGAAACTTGGGCAGAGCTCATCTGTAATGCAGAGAGCCCACCCCCCGCCGTGAGCTGGACACCAAGTGCTCACTGCCCTCCAAGTGCAGCTCAGGCCACAGCTGAGAATGCCAGCAGGTCGAGGCTCAGCTCTTCCGGCCCTGCCTATGCCAGCGCTGCCCCCTGTGCCACCCACCTTGCACCCAGGACACTTCTCCTTCAGCTTCCTGGCGATGCCCGTGATGGTACCACCTGTGCCAGCCGAAGCCACCAGCATGTCCAGCTTCCCTGGTTGAGGGAGGGTGTTATCAGACCACTGCCCAGCCAGCCCACCACTCTTAGAAACGCTCAGCCAAGTCTAGTGCTGGCGGCTCATGCCTGTAATCCCAGCTACTCAGGAGGCAGAGATCAGGAGGGTTGCAGTTCGAAGCCAGCCTATGCAAATAAGTTCACAAGACCCTATCTTGAAAATACCCATTACACAAAAAAAAAAAAAAAAAAAGAAAAAAGGGCTGGCAGAGCGGTTCAAGGTGAAGAAGGCCCTGAGTTCAAGACCTAGTACCATTAAAAAAAAAAAAAAAAAAAAAAAGCTCAGCCAAGTCAAAGCAGTCAAAACATTCAAAGGGAAAAGCATTGCTAAAATTCAAATAGCCACTCATCACAATCCTATCTGTCAAAAGCAGAGATGGGGAACCAGCAGGCTTTGTGGCTGGTGAGCATTGGCCTTTAATTCCCATGTAACTGAGGGTGAGGATGACACCTGCTAGGGGGTCTAGGCAGAGGCAGGCTCTAGACTTCGTGCCTTCCTAGGTTGTTGGATTAAGAGTGGGAATGAGCAAAGTGGCTTTTTTAAAAGTAGGATTAAAGTACTCAGGCTTTGGCTGTGAATCCGAACCCGCCTGGGCTCTCACACTGGCAAGTCTGAGCCTGGCAAGCTCAGGGAAGTTGAGCAGCCAAAGCAGGACTGGTTTTGCCAAATGAGAGAATTCTCACCCATAAAACTGGGTGAGCAAATGCCTGGACTTTACTGCTAGCCCCTGGGCATGGAACAAGGCTGCTTTGAGGCCAGTGCCAGTTTCTGATCAGGAAGCCGAGGGTGCAGGCTCCCAGAACTCTCCCACAGCCATCTCTTAGGAAACATCACCACCGGCCCCGGAGGCCCTGGCACTCAGCGTGTACACGGGTGCCAAGAAGCCTCATGCCTGAACAGAGAGTAAGCTAACTGCAACCGTCACCAACCCTGCTTTGGAGAAGAGAAAAACTGAACGTCAAATTCAATGCCCAAGTTGGAGCTTGACCCGACTGCTATTAAAGACAGTGAAGTCAGCACCAGGCTTTGCCCTGGCACACTCGTTCCCCACACTCTGCAGCTCCAGCCACCTGCAGGAGACTGGGGGCGTAGGCCTACAGCCTGAATCACGTGTTTGGTGTTGCAAGAGAGGCAGATGGAGGCCAAGAGGGTTTTCAGGAGGGAAGAACTGCTCTAAAAACCATTTCACAGAGGGATATTTGAGCTGGGCTTTGAAGAGTGAAGAGGAGTTTACCAAGGAGAGGGCAAGTGACTTGCACACTCCCGGGGAGCCAGGGATAAATGCAATGAAGCTGGGGAGCACACACCATCACACTGCTGCAGGATCTCCTCGGCGGTGGTGTCATAGTGAGCCAGAGGATTGCTGGCGTTGCGGTACTACATGGAAAGAACACAGGACCAGTGAGCCTGGTGAGAGGGCATGGAGCAGATGGCTCCCTGCCACCCAAAGATCCCAGTGGTGGGGCAATGGGGGGTCTGGCACCTCCGCAGGCAGGAAGGAAGCGTCAAAGCCAACTCCCCAGAACGTGACATTTCTGGATTAACCCAGAAGTGAAAGGCTTAGAGAGGAGAGCTTCAGTGGAAAGCCATGCGTGCTCCAGGCTGGGCCACTCTGAAGCTAGAGCACAGCCTGCAGAGACCAAAGGCTCAGGGTCCCAGGGAGGAACTCCCTGCATCAAAGGACGAATCCCCCCAAATCCCAACAGAGCCCCAAAGAAAACGCCCTACTCGGGCATAAATATCCCTCTTCAGACTCACTTCCCAGGCCCGCAGGCGCCTCACCTGGTCTAATATGTGAGAATTGGGGATTTCATTCTTCAGTCGCCATGCCACCCCCACGTGGGACTCGGGGGAGTCAAACCTGGCATTGGTGGGCGTCCTCACGATCTCCGCGCCCAAAGCCCGCAGGACGTCCACCTGGGCGTGGAAAGGCCTGGCCTTCAGCATCTAGCGCCTGGGCACCTGCCTGGCCCCGCCCACAACACTGGCTCCGCCCCCCGGCTCTGTCCCACCCATCCCGCTGGCTCCACCCACTGCTGGCCCCGCCCACCGGTTGCACCCCCTGCTCTTTTCCTGCCCGCCCAGTTGGCTCCACCTTCAGCTGGCCCCGCCCATCCCGCCCCACTGGTTCTGCCCCGCCCACCTGCTAACCCTGGCACTGCTCTGCCCCACCCATCCCACTGGCTCCACCTCCTGTTCTTTTCCTGCCTGCCCAATTGGCTCCGCCCCCTGCTATCCCCGCCCACCCCCTTGACCCCACCCCACCGGCCCACCTTCTCCATGCTCATCTTCTCAGGCATGACGATGATGCAGCGATAGCCCTTCACAGCTGCGGCCAGGGCCAGCCCGATCCCTGAGGACAGCACGAAGAGGGTGAGAGGGGTCCAGTGTCCCCAAGCCTGCCTGCTCTGCCCGGGACACCAGGATCAGCAGGGACAAGTCCCGCATGCCAGTTCCTTTTCCTGGAAGGCCCAGGGGATAGAGTACTGACAGATCGCAGCCCCCCAGTGTGGCACCCCAATGCCTTCCCAAGAGAGAATGTGGAGGCGGAAATGCAAAGGCGGCGTGCGCAGGAGGAAGAGCAGAGCCCGGACAGGAAGCGCATCCTCCAGCCAGGCTTGTCCACACCCGAGGGAAGACGCAGCTAGCCAGCCAGAGGATCGGCTCTGGCCAGAGACAGCCAGCCCTGGCCACCCTCCCACTGGTCCCCATGCCCACCTGTGTTCCCAGAGGTCGGCTCGATGATGGTGTCCCCAGGTTTCAGGATCCCATCTCGCTCGGCATCCTCCACCATCCGCAGGCTGATACGGTCCTTCACGCTCCCACCCGCATTGAAGAACTCACACTTGGCCACTGAGAATGACAGATGAATCACGAGAGAAGACCCCCCGACCCCAGCGGATTCCTGCCATCTCCCCATCACCTGACACATCCCAGGGTGAGGGGCAGGGGTGGTGTTTGCAGATTGTGGAAGTCATCACCTTTTCATTCCCACTGGACACACCTGCACCTGGCACTCAGAATCAGAGCTGACCCCATACCCACCCTGCAGACCCCAGGGAAATTGAGTGAATGGGGAAAAAGGTACCAAGGAGTCCCACCAGGTGGATGGGTCAGAAAACCTGTCTCCCAGGCCAAACAAGGTGGCTCGTGCCTGTAATCCCAGCTATTTGGGAGGCAAAGATCAGGAGGATCATGGTTTGAGGCTGGCCCTGGACAAAAACACAAGACCCTATCCAAAATATAACTAAAGCCGAAAGGGCTGGAGGTGTGACTCAAATGCAAGATGAGATCGAGCTCCTGCCTAGCAAGTGTGAGGCCCTGGGTTCAAACTCCTGTACCACAAAAACAAAGCACCAAAAGTGAGAAAGACACAGGTCCCTTTTACAGCAGGCAGTCCCAGCGGGCAAATAAATTTGAGCCCCACACACCCCTACTGCAGGACAGTCAGCTGGGCCCCAGCCAGACCAACTCCATGTCCTGAAGCCACAGCCAAGGGGCCCCAAGCCCTCCCTACTGCCTCACGTGTTCTGGCCAGTGACCACTCTTGGTCTTCCCCATGCAACGGCCACTGTCCTTTCCCTGTAGAGGCCCTCACCTTGCTCCCCTGCCCTTATGGAAGACCCTTCCTCCCCATCTCAAAAAACATTTAGGGTCCCCCCTCTCCCCCACAGTACTGGGGATTGAATCCAGGACCTCATTCATGCTAGGCCAGCGCTCTACCACTGAGCCACACCAAATATAATTTGGAAGACCCAGGATTGGCTTACTAAACCCTCAAAACCTCCAAAATATCTCCTTCCTAGCTTTTGTCCTTGTTCCTGAAAATCACCACCAAGAGGCTGGGAGAGGGGGTCCCCAATGCCTGGATCCCAGGACCCTCTGAATTATCCTATGAGACCACTCTACCTAGCCTGAGGGGAGACCAGACCTGCGGCAGGGATCAGAGCTGACCTTAGGCCAGCCATAAAGCCACCAGAGCCTGGGTTGGCCAGACAAGTGGGTGCAGAGGACTCATAGCCCTCACCTGTCGGGGCTACTTAGTGCTCTCTGTGGCCTGACAGAGGAGCCCCGGGCGGGCCCTGCTGGGCGTGGGGCTCTGGGAAGAGGTGGTTCCCATGCATACTACCAGCCCTGCTGGATGTCATAGGAGGTGGTCTTTGAGAATTCCTCCCACCAACAAAGGGGCAGAGGAGGGCAAGGCTCCCATTTAGCCCCTAGGTGAATCGGCCATCCACGTCCTGGTCCCTGGCTTCTCCCCACTCAAACTGCTTGTCTTCCTTCTGCCCCATTCTGCATCGCCCCATGGCCTGGCCCCCAGGGCCCTCTGCAGAAGGTGCAGCCTCCCTGGGTCCTGGGCTCTGGCAGAGAGGAGGGTCACCAGCACCCCACCACCACTTCCTGCTCCAGAACAGCGATCTGCAAGGACCCCCTTCTCCTAGTAGCTGAGATAAGACCTGGGGTGACTTTGTGCTCACCTGGAACTGGGCCAGCCACACACCTCCAGGGAACTAGCAGGACAGAGACAGTGGATTCTTGTTCTGTCAATGGCCGAGACCCAGCTCAGGATGTCATCCCACACACTCACCTAGGACTTGTCCAGGTCCCCCTCCCTAAAAAAGCACTAGGGAAAACCACCCTACTCAACCTCCTTATTGCTCCTGTTTTGCCTTTGACCCTGGTCCCCCAGAGGGCAGAGGGAACCCCTGCAGGCCGGCCACTCACAGAGCTCACACTTCAGGCCGGCATTCCTCCCGATCTTGTTGATTCTGACCATGGGGGTGTTCCCGATTTTCCTCAGAATATCTGGCAAGACTTTTGGCAATTTCGTCCTAAAACAGAGAGGAATCCACAATTACTCAGAAAACAAATTTTAGAACAAATTAAGAAACATTAAAAAAAAAAAAAAAACAAATCAAGAATCAAAGAACTGGCTTTAAGGAGGGCTCTGGGTGCAGTAGGAGGGGTGTCACACAAATCCATACACAGGATAGTGACACAATGACCCATGCACACCTAAACACACACACCGAAACACCTACAAAACCAATGCAGTAACACCTGCAGCTTACACTACATAGAGTCCGTTCCCTGGGTTCAGACTCACAATTCTGTCTCACAGGACGCTACTGATGGCTAGCTGGGTGAGGGACACAAAGGACCACCCTATCATTTTTGCAAGTTCTTATGAGTGTTTAATTACTTCCCAGTAAAAAAGTGAAACAGGCTGGGCATGCTAATCCCAGCACTCAGGAGGCTGAGAAAGGAGGATCAGGAATTTGAGGCCATCCTGGGCTACACAATAAGACCCTGCCTCTAAAAGAAAAAAGGGGAAGGTGGCTAGAGGCATGGCTCAAGCAGTAGAGCACCTGGCTAGCAAGAGTGAGGCCCTGAGTTCAAACCCCAGTACTGCCAAAAAACAGTACTGTAAAAGCAATAAAGTTAAAATCAACAAAGCTTAACTTTGAAGACAAGAGATCCAGGTCTCTACCTAGAGGAATTCCCCACCCTCCAGCCCCCAACATCTGATTGCTGAGACACCTTTACTTTCTTATTCTCCGGACAGAAAGGTGAAGTGCTGGGCCCCAGGGGAGCCTCAGACCCCAGCCACCTGCTAGTGACAGGACTGCACAGAGAGCCTGAGGCCTGGCGTCACAGGAATCCAGTGCCAAGCTCCAGCCAGAAGACAGCTGGGGCAGCCCAGGCTGGTGAGTGGCCAGCAGTTCTTCCAAATGACAACATGGTGGCCACGACAGTGTGGTGGCTAGGCAGGCCAGTGGTGCTCTGAGCATTTTCTATATATGCAATGTGTACCCCAAGCAGGTTCCCAAACAGCCCCCATCTGGCTCTTCTGCTGGCCCTGGCATGGTGCCTGTCAACCCTCAGTCTCTCCCAGTCTGTGTGGAGGATGTACTTACGACATTCCTCTGGGAATCTGCACACGGCACTGGGGTACACGAATGCCAGTGCTCAGCCCCAGCCATGCTTCTCCCACCTGAGTGAGCCCTGCTAGCAACCAAATCTATGGAACAGGTGCCTTGGTGACCCTGGACCTGGGGCTCTGGAGGAAGAATGCTACATTCCAGTAGGAGGGGCAGCTACCTGAGGCCTAGGCAGGCCACGACAGGCTGGTCTCCACTGCAGCCTTCTGAGGCCAGTTCTGCCCTGCCCTTGGGGTGCAGGGGAGCTGAGACAGGCACCCAATCAGGTGGGGATGGGCAGCCTCCCCTCCCAGGAAGTCCTTGGGGGTAGAAACAGGCTCAGGAGAGACAGAGCCTGGGTGTGAGCCAAGAGTTCTTGATCCCAGCCTTAGGGGAGATCAGGCAGGAGTGGAGCCATGGGTGGGGGTGCTGGGGATCAGTGCGTTCACTTAGATGGAAGAGGGCAGAGACAGCCAGTGCAGGACCTAGGGACATGGGTGCACTCACTCGGCAGGGGGTCATGGATAGCAGGAGAGTCACAAGATTGCAAAGCAATGGAATCTGGACGTTTTGCATGAAAAGAATCAAATTCACAATCTTATTGCAATTACTTGTACTCTGACAGTCCAGGGGCCTCTGTGAGGGCCACCCCACCTCCCTTACAGAGACCCCAAACTCCTCAGCAGGACGGATTACCTGCCCAGCCCCACAGTGCCCTCTTTCTAAGTCCACCCCACCTCTTCTCCAGATACCCACTGGCTTCGTCTCTTGCCCCACTTACCTGTCCATCTGTCTCTCACCACCAGGAACCCCCAGTGACATGTCTCCCTCCAGGGGACCGTGGTATAGTGCCAGACAGTACCCTCTCAACACTGAGCCTCCATGACTCCCTCCCTGAAGTGCACAGGACGTTTGACAATGCCTGGGGCTGTGTGTTCCTAGATAAGCCTGCCCTTGGCCAGAGTGTGAGGCACAGGCAGGTCAGTACTGCTGACCACTGGGATGGCACCGTTTCTACCTGCACCCTAGAGGGGGCAGCTCACAAAGCCCTCAGGAATCTCGTTCTCTTCCCTGTCCCCTGCCCAGCAGCTACGCCTGACTCTCACCCATTGCTCTGCTCTGTCCTGGAGCAAGGACTTGTCTGTCAGGCCAGCCATCCCCTTGGCCTCCTGATCCCCCAGCTCTGCCACCTATTCAGTGTGCAGAGCATTCAGGTGTGTGAATTTTCCCCTTTCTATTGTCCCAGCCCTGAGAACACACCCTCAAAATTGCTCTGCTTTTGGAGTCAATAACCACGAACATCAATGGCTGTGCACAGGGAATAAGAATTCAACAAATCAAATGCATACTTTGATCCCATTTCTACTTCAAGAAGATTCTGCTGAAGAAATAAGCAGTCCTAATGTACAGCAAGCCCAAATCTAAGTTTCATGACAGGGTGGGAATTTTTTTTTTTTTTTTTTTTTACCTTCTGTACTTAGAACAGGGCATGGAGATGTCTTGTAAAGATTTGTTGACTGAATTTGTAAAAATCTATGCCCAGGGAAGTTCATAAGCTAGAGTTAAGCAGAAAGGTGCAGGTGTGCCCAGCTGACGACCACCTCTTTGTCATAACACTTGGGCACATTTGGTACTGAGCATCCGTGTTGAGCACTCACTCACCTTGGCACAGGGTTGCAGTGTGAACAAGCTGTGGCCTGGGTGAGCCCTGCCTGAGTTGTCCCTAGGGTGTTCCCTGCCCTCAGCACACAAGTGATCACAAGACAGGGCCACAGCCAAGTCCAGTGGCTTCCAGGAAATGCACTCCTCCCTCCAGGTAATGGATCGATCATCTTGTGACCAGACAGGAACTTACAGGGTGGTGTGGTGATGTGGAGAGTCGGCAATAGGCCTGCCCAGCTGCCAGGTGCACCTGCTTGGGACATCAGGCCGGATCCACAGGCGCTCCTTGTCTACTGAAGGCCCCCTCTCCAGGCTTCCTTTCCCTGAGTGCACCCCTACGATGTGGGGACACCCTGCAGAGTCTCCTTCTGCTTGGGGTGTCTCTGAAGGCATGCTGGAATCTGCGAAGGGAAGGCAGAGGTGTTGGTTCAGGTTCTGAGGCCAGCGCACTCAGCAAATGTGGTGTACTCCTTTGAGCACGGGGCTCTGCTCAAAGAAGTCCACTAAGAACAAACAGAAAGCCAGGCACTGGTGGCTCAAACCTGTAATCCTAGCTGTTCAGGAAACAGAGATCAGGAGGATCACAGTTCAATGCCAGCCCCCAGCAAACAGTTCACAAGACCTGATCTCGAAAAAACCCATCACTAAAAAGGAATGGCAGAGCGACTCAGGGGTAAGAGCGCCTGCCTAGCAAGTGTGAGGTCCTGAGCCTCAAGCCCTAGTACCACCGAAAAACAAGACAAAACAATAACAAAAAACGGCAGAAAAGCACCGGCTCCAGCCGCTTGGCCCTTCCTCAGAAGGTGAAACAGAACGTCCTATCAGCCGGCAATATGACTCCTAGGCATTGATTCAAACAATGGAAACGGACATTTGTATGCCCATGTTCACAGCACTGTCACCAACAAATGTCAAGAGATGGATGTTCCCCCCACCCCCCGTTTTCATTGCTGGATGGACAGATAAACACAAACGTGCTCCATCCATGCGATGGAATGTTATTCAGTCATAAATTTAAGTGAAAGAAGCCAGTCACAAAGCAGGCAAATACTGTGTGGTTCTACTTATATGAGGTACCGATGAGGCAGGCCAGAAGTAGGAAAAGTTTGGAGCTCATGTGGGTTGCCTGGGGATGGCCCAGACCACCCTCACCTGGCGGGGAACTGCCCATGCCAACCCCCCCAACTCATTCATTATCGGGTGGGAACCTCCTGGGCCTGCCCTCCCTTGGGGTAGTGTAGGTTTTAAAAACACCTAAAAAGGAAAAGCACGATCTCCAACCTGCGCCAACCTGCACCCACTGCGCCCGCTGCCTTTTCTTCCCTTTCCTCACCTGGCAGAACAGGTGACTCCCCTTCTCTCAATAAAGCCATCCTGCCTCACCCGATCCACATGCTCTGCTTGGATTTTTCCATTTGGAGCACAAAAACCAGATCTTCTGATCACAGACTGCACCAGCGCTGTTAACACCTGGAGTTGTCAAATGTCCTTCTGTGGTCTGGTGTATATGAGGTACTCAGAACAAAGTCAGAGACAGAAAGCCATCAGGATGGGTGGGGGAAGGGAGAGTAATTGTTTAATAGCACTGAGGTTTTGCTGGGAATGAAGAAAAAACAGGTATAAGGATATCGGTTGCACAACGTTGAGAAGTATTTAACGTCGCTGAATTGGATACTTAGGAAGAGATGAAATGATAAAAAGTCAGCCCTCCACATCTATCAGTTCTGCATGTTGAATTAAATTAACCACAGATAAAATGATACAGGGGCTGAGGTGCAGCTCAGTGGTTGAGCGCTTGCCTAGGCATGTGCCAGGCCCTGCATTTCGTCCCCAGCATGGGAGAAACTGGGAAAAAAATGCCTACTAAACAAGTACAGACTCTTGTCATTATTCCCTAAAGAATACAGTCTAACAACTATTGACTTAAGGTGTACATTGTATAAGTAATGTGTGGAGGTTATATCCAGGAATAACCATTTTATATAAATGAGCCCCAGAACTACTCCCCCACTGATACGGGAAAAGAACAAGGGGCATCCTCTCTTGGGGTCCCCCCAACTCTGGGGCCTCTACTCTCCCACTTTACATCTCAACAGACTCACTTTACACTTAAAAAAAAAACTTCCTGTAAAATACAACAAAAACTGACCCGCCCCTTCTCCCAGGTCCTTAGCACCCCCGGACATGTGCTGGCCCCCAGACTGGCCACAGAGCCATGTAGACCGGCCCCGATTGGCCCTGTGTCTTTTTGGAGCTTTGTCTGACCCTGGCACAAACTCTAGCAAACACTAAAAACAGATGACCCCACCACCACCACACTGAAATTGGCACAACTGCAATCCCAGCAATGAGGAGGCGGAGGCAAGAGTGCAGTTGGATTACGTAGGCTTTGTTGGGGGGGGAGGGGAGGGGAGGGGAGGCGTGGGGAGGGAAGGGGAGGGAGGGAGAATTGGACCTGGACTCGCTCCAGGCAAAGCCACGTGTGCCCCATCCCATCCGGCTCACCCCTTCTGGGGTCAACGTACCCATGTCAGAAACGGCGCCCATTTTCAGAGCTCCCCGTCCCTCCTGAAGCCACCCAAAGCTGCCCCGCGTCCTTCTTCCTGCACCTTGGAAAGGGCACTGTAAGCGGGGCAGGCTTCCCTGCGGGTGACCCGGGTGGCTGGTGGGCAGGTGATTCTCCCGCCTGGCCCACGGCCCGTGTCCGGACCGCCCTCCCGCACAGAGGCTGCGCCTGGCAGAGCCGGCGGCCCGCAAGGCCAGGCGCTGCGGGAACGCGGTGGATGGACGGTGGGTCGAGTCTCCGCGGAACCTACGGGCGCTGGGCGGGAAAGTCGCCAAGCGAACCGAGCCCGAGTCTGCCACGTCCAACGCGAAGGGCCAGGCTCGTGCCCCAGGGGCATCGGCCCGGGGTCTCCCGCGCGCCGAGGGGGACGTGAGGAACAGGTGCGTGGACCGCAGTAATGTCCTTCATTGGCGTGGGAATTTTCCCAGTGGGGCAGGGAGACCCCCCCTCCCCAGAAGCCGCAGCCCCTCGGCCCGTGGGAGAGGCACTGTGGGACGAAGTCTGGGGACAGTAAGGCGGGAGATCCTGGGGGGCTGAAGTTCCGCGTGGTATCCCGAGCTCGGCCACTCGCGGGCCCGGGGCTGGGGACCGCAGGACACCGCCGCTCCCCGCGCGCCATATTCCGTCCACCCACCAAGGGCGGAAAAGAGCAGTTTGCGACACAGCCATTTCCCATCCAAAATAAACACACTGAGCCATCAGGGACCGGCCGCGGCGCAGCGCGGCTCCCCGGAGCCTCCACCCGGCTCCCGGCTCCACGCGCCGGGGGCCCCGCCACGTGGACGCTCCGCCTCGGCTTGGGCGAGGTCCGCACGTGCGGGAGGGAGCCGTGGGCGCGGGCCCCGCGCGTCCAGGTGCGGCTGATGCAACTCCGCGCGAGGGGGGTGGGGGTGCCGGGCGACCTCGGACCACGGTGAGGACCTCGGTCCAGGCGCCGCGCGGGTCTCGGCGGGGCCGGAGCTCACCTGGACGGCAGATGCGGGGAAGGGGGACGGACCGGACGGCGGGAGCTGCAGCCCCGACGATGGCACGGCCAGGACGGCGACCCCGGGGCTCGCGGGCCTCGAGCCGACCTGGCGGCGGGCTGGGGGCTGCGGCGATTGGTCCAGAGGCGGGGGCGGAGGGCCGGCGCCAGCCAATCCTCGGCCTCAGAGCCGGGCACACCCCCCCCCTCCGCTCGGCCCCGCCCCTCCTGCATGCCTGCGGATCCCCGTTCGCCCTCCCCCGGCCCCCGCGACTGGACCTGCCCCTCCTCGCTCTCGCCCCTGGATCCGCCATTCCCCCCCGACGCAGACCCCGGCCGGAGCGCGGACCCCTCCTCTCGTCCGACCCCGGGACGCCCTCAGCATCCACCCCCCGCCCCGCGGGGAATCCAAGAACTTTTTGCCTGCGGCCTTGAGGGGACCTGCCCTCCGTGGGGATGGAGCCTCGGCAGACCCTGGTCCCCGACCCCCCGCCCGCGCCAACCATCGGCTGCCTCGCTCCGGGTCCGCGGGGCTCTGTGACAGCTCCACTGGACCCGGGCAACCTGACTCTCCAAGGAAGCTTGGCCAAAAGTCTCAAAGTGGTAGGGAACAGAAGTGTTCCCCATCTCTCTCCCCCATAAACAGGACTCCAGAGGCGAACCGGCCAGAGGGCACCAGGTCAACAGCGCCCTAATAGCGGTGTTCGAACTCTGTGCTCTTGATTGATAAAGAGGCTTAACTGGGTGTAGTGGTGCACGCCTGTAATCCCAGCACTCGGGAGGCTGAGGCAGGAAGAACAGGAGATGCAAGCCAGCCTGGGCTCCGTGGTAAGACTTTTTCAGACCCTTGAATTAATCCCAGGACCTAAAATGAGCGACAGGTCCAGAGAGGCGCCCAGCAGGGGTGGTCGGAGATGCCGGCTTGACCAACCATCTTCATTCAGCACTCGTTTCTCCAGCCTGGGCAGTGTGCCTGGTCTTTGCACAAGCTCTGAAACCACAGGGTAGTTCAGGCTGGCGGTGGGGGACATTATTCTCTGGAAATTTTCACTAATCACAGCTGATGTGAAGAACAATACAGCCGGGTACTTAGGGGCTAGCAGCAGACCAGTGATCAGGGAAAGTTTGTCTGGATAGCGCCTTTTTTGTTTTCTTTTGTTTCATCTTGTTTTTGAGACAGGAACACGTGATCCTGCTGTGCAGCCCAGGTTGGCCTGGAACATGTGGGTCCTCCTGCCTCAGGCTTCTGAGAGCTGGGATTATGGCATATCCCAACCAACAGGTGACATCTGAGTGAAGACCAGAAGAGTCACATCTTGTTCTAGGGAGGAACATTCTGGGCTGAGACCCGACATTGCAAGTGCCTGAGGCAGGAAGGAGTTTAGGCCCCAGGAGCAGGATGGGAGGCGAGCAGTGTTGTGGGGACAGAGCCTGGGGCGGGTAGACCAAGGTCAGCATCTGGATTTTAGCGTAAGTGCCCTGGGGGCTCTGGAAGGGTTCCAGCTGGGAGGTTTTGAATATGCTCTAAATTATCATTGTGTGGGTTTTTTTTTTTTAATCTTTGCATAATTCCTTTTGTCATATAACTGGCAACAATAGTACCAGGAATTCCTAGGCATCTTTCTCCCAGTTTTCTAAGCGTTAGACTTTCACTTGCCCTTGAACGTGGCTGTATTTGGAAATTGTGTCTTTAAGAATGTACTCAAGGTAAGACCAGTCAACCTGGATAAGGTGTGGGGGAGGAGGGCTTTAATCCGCTGTGACAAGTGTCTTTGTAAGAAGACAGAAATTTGGACAGAGACGCACAGAGGTGAAGGTCCCGTGAAGATAGATGCAGGCAGACATCAGAGGTCTGGTGGACAA